ATATTCTCCTCAGGTGCAAACTCTTTCGAACTAACCCAGACTAAGTCGCCTACTTGAAACTGTGAAGGGCGACGATGTTTGTTTGCATGTTTTATCATCCTATGTTGGGCTTTCCTGAGGTTTTCTACAACAATAGCTAGTTCTTTCTCGTGCTGTACAGCGAACTCCCGGATCCCGGGCGGCAATCTCTGAATCTGATCCCGATTGAGTCCCTCAAACGGTCTGCGCGGTCTAAAGGACTTGTGCAGTTCGTTGGGAGTGCGGCAGGTGGCTAGATGCACGTTGTTATTGTACGCACTAGTTACTTTAGGCAACATCTCATCGCAGTTAATCTGATCTGGCCTAATATACATGCGCAGAACTTGCTGTAGGATCTTGTTCATTTGCTCTGTCTAACCGTTAATCTCTGGATGGCGGCCGGACGACATCAACAACTTAGATCCGTATACTCCCATGAGTTCTTGCCAGTTCTGGCTAGTAAAGCGACTATCTCTATCGCTAACTATAGACAGCGGGATTCCGTTCTCACTAACCCAGCAGTCAAAGAACCTCTGTATGACTATATCAGTACGCGCCTCAGAAGGCAAAGGAACAAAAACTGCGTACTTGCTAAAGCGGTCAACTATGACCATGACTTGGCTCTTGCCATGCCTGCTCTTGACTTGAGTGTTCATGAAATCTATTAACACTGAGTCTCTCGGCTGCTCCGGAATGTGCAAGGGTCTGAGAAGACCTAGCGGGGCGCACGTAGAACTCTTATTACGCTGACAGACTTTGCAACAGCGAACATACTCTACGCAGTCATTCTTCATCCCTGGCCAGGTATACGCGCGCATCAGATTGGCCAAAGTCTTTTGCCAACCGAAATGACCCTCTGTGTCGTGACATTCCCCCAGAATCAGACTACGGATCTCTTCGCTATTGGGGATGCACAACCGGTCAAAGACATTAGTCTTCTCGAAGAGTAACCCTCCAGTAGTGCGGTAGTTCGGCTCGGTCTCTGAGGCCTCCTTGACTCGCGTGAGGAGCTCACTATAGATAGGGTCCTGCACGTAGGCTTCTCTAACCTTCTGCTGCAGATCCTTTCCTATATCCCTTTGACAGGCTTGAGCTCGAAGTCGTACTGATCTATCTCTGCGGCCCACCTAGTAAGCTTAGGTGTCATCTTGGCCTGGGTCTTTAACCATCGTAACGTTTCATGGTCCGAATACACTTTGAAATGCCTCCCAAGCAAGTAGTGTTTCCAATGGTCTAATGCTTGCCTGAGAGCGTAGAGTTCCCTCTCATAGGTAGATGTCGCAACCTTCTCTGAAGGCATCCTAGCGGACATGAACTCTACGGGTCTATAGCCATTGCCATCATCTTGCTGTAACATTGCGCCTATGTCGTACTGGCTAGCATCTGTAGTAACGACAAAAGGCAAGGACGGATCGGCGACCTTAAGGACCGGATACTCTATCAACGCCTGCTTTAGCTTCTTCCTGGCAGACGTGCAGTCCTTGTCCCACTTCCAGATTGTCGCTTTTCTCAGCAATCTGCGAATGGGCGCAGCGATGGTGAAGAAGTTCCTCACGAACTTCCTGTAGTAATTCGCTAAGCCCAGGAACGAGCGCAACTCTGTCAGCGTACGTGGCGTGGGCCAATCTCTAATCGTTGCGATCTTGCGATCTTCTGGCTTAACGCCGTCTCCGTCTAAGACGTGGCCTAGATACAAAACTTGGGTCTTTGCCCAATCGCACTTCTTTGCATTGATCTTGAAGTTAGCTTCTCTCGGTTTCTCCAAGACTTGCCTGAGATGACCTTGATGCTCTTCGAGGGTCCGGCTAAACACTAGAATATCATTTAGATAAACTACAACGAATCTGTCTAACCACGGCCTAAACAAATCATTCATACACCGCTGAAAAGTTGTTGGCGCATTGGTAAGTCCAAAGGGCATCACTATAAACTCATAATGCCCGTACCTAGTCCGGAAGGCTGTCTTATACTGATCATCGGGGTGTACCTCTATCTGATGATATCCGGACTTTAAGTCTATCTTAGAGAAATACTTAGCCCCCTGCACTCGATCTAAGAGATCGTCGATCCTAGGCAGTGGCTCAACATTCTTTACTGTAATAGCATTCAGACCCCTATAGTCTATGCACATTCTCAACTCCCCCTCTTTCTTAGGAACAAAGAGAACAGGCGCTCCGAAAGGAGACGAACTGGGCCTAATCCAACCCTTCTCGAGGAGCTCATCTAATTGCTTGCGAAGCTCCTCTAACTCCCGCGGGGACATCCTATACACAACACCCTTAGGAGTTTTACTGCCAGGCTCTATCTCGATACGGTGCTGGATGGGCCGCGGCACCGTGCCTGTCGGCGGCTCAGTCAAATCCTTAAACTCCTCTAGCAGCTTGGCAATCGCAGGGTCCATCGGATTCTCTTCCATAGGCTCAGTGACGGGCCTAACATAGGCAACAAAGACTTGTTCCTCTAATTTCTCCTTCTTCACCAATCAGGCGAACGCAGGGGCACTAAGGCAGCAATGTGCCAAGGAATTCTCTACTCCTGACACATGAAACAGGCGGGCAGTCTTACCCTCGCCTGCAGAACTAGGGAGTCTACACTCGTGCTCCTTCAAATGGAGCGTTGCCCCGGTTGCCTCTCCCCAATCCATTCTCAGTACTGTATCAAATGGGAGGCTGTCCTCTACGAGGAGAGTCAGGGAGTGGAGGACCTTCTCCACCTTCCCATCTTCCTCTAGGCGGAAATACGCCTGAACTCCCTCTATGTAATCTTCTACAACCATGGTACGATTGTCCGCCAGGATACTAACTATGGGGTCTGTCAGTTTCTGGACCTTAAGTCCCAGCCTCAACTTCTGCAGCGCTTGCTTACTAATATAGTTGCGGGTGGCCCCTGAGTCTACTAGGGCCCCTACTCTACTTCTAAAAATCTCTGCATCTAATAAAATCAGCTGCCCTTTATTCTCCTTCTTCATCTTGGCCCAGGCGGGCCTCCTCTCCTTCGACTCTTCCGCCACGCCTGCGAGGGAGGTGTCTAGCGAAACTCTAACACAAGCAGTCTCGGGACAGCTGTCTAGACACCGGCCTGCAACCTCTGCCGTAGGCACATGTGGTGTGGGAGTCTCCTGCCGGCTAGCGCTATTTTCCCCACATGGCCTAGTGGTAGGGGCAGTTGCTACCCCTACCGGTGGCTGCCTTTTGGCTCTTGAGCAGTCGTTCGGGTCTCTCGATACTTAGGATAATATTTGATGATATGCCCCGGGTCACCGCAGAAAATGCACTGGCCCCGGTTCAATCGTTGTTGCCATAAAGCCTGGTCTAGACCCAAAGATTCCCACGGCCTACTCTGAGGTAGCCCTGGGTGCCATCCTCCTATTCTATAGGGAGCCCTCCTCCAAGGACGGTTTTGCGGGGGACCTTGACCCCTACCTCCCGCTTGGCGGTTCCCTCCTCTGCCGCCAACCTCCTGATCGCCCTGGAACCGGCTCCCTGAGGCCCGACCCCCTTGGCCTTGGCCTCGTCCTCCTTGCGGCCTCCCTCCAGCCGCGACAGCAGCGTAAGTCCTCCCCTGGCCCACACTACTGTCCTCCTCCTCGAACCCCCACTCAATCTGGTCGTAGGGGATCTCGTCCACACTACCCTCATCTAAAGTGAGCACAAGGCTATCCTTGGTCTTGACTTGCCCTGAGATAGTGCGGCCCTTCCACTTTTTGCCCTTGTCTAAATCTTTGTGCCAGAACGTGAAAATCGACGCAGACTTCGCCTCGAACGCGACCACTTCCCTGCTAAGTATATCATAAGTCATAGCAGGGTCCTGACTCTTGTCAAAGAAGTGACCACGCAGCGTTTCGGGCATAGCCCGGTAGAAAAGGTTGACCAAATGGGTTTCCGTGACCTTGTGGTCAGGAACAGCCACCAACTCATCCATTGTGCCCTTGAGTGCCCTTGCACTCTTCCATTGGCGCGAGTGTATTCTCTGAAGCCTATCTGAGGCTTTGACACTACGGGCAACATCAGCAAATCGCTCGCGCAGCAGCTTCAAGAATTCAATGAGGGACGTAAACGAGGAGTACGCAACTGGATCGTCACTACAGTTGGCAGGACGAACAAGGGATCTCGCGAAACTGGCGGCCTCGTCTCTAAGTGCATGGATCGCAATTAAGACCTGCTGATCTGGGGAGACCTGTTGCAAATGCACATAGGTCTTAACATTGGCCTCCAAATTGTCAAAGTTCTTTTCCCTTTTCCCACTGTAGGAATCAGGGAATTTGACTTTGACTGGCTCCCTGCGAGGATGGGCCTCCTCCTCCTTGGGAGCGGCCACCTTGACGCCTTCGATGGCGCCGACACAAAAACGCTCAGTTTTCTCAAGGCGATGACTCACCTCGGATCCCACAAAGCCTACTAGTTCGCGAGCAAAATCCCGTAATCCCGTTCGCATCGAACGCACGGATATCTCCTGGCTGGGACTAAACTCATAGTGCTTTTCCTTCACTTTAGCTAACTGGTCAACGCTCTGGGCGATGATCTCCACTTTGCGTTGGAGATCTACTTGCGGAGTCAATTGTGTTGTTAAGGCAGTCCTCACCTCCGCTAGTTCTTGCATTGCTGCATTCGCCGCCTCCACTCTTCTCTTCTTCTCCCTCATCACGGCGAGCTTCCACGCCATCCTCTGTTCATCCTCCATCGCCCGCCGCGTCAGAACATCTTCTTCTGCTTCCCATTTCTTCATGGCGGCTTCTTGCTCATCCTTGGGGATGTACATAGCAACCTCTTCCTCCTCACCCAGGGATAAGTTGGCGACCCACTCTGAAATCTTCTTCTCCATCTCATCACTGTTGCTGCTGCTGTGCTGCCCACTCTTTTGCAGTGGCGGTCCTTCCTCTTCTTCATCCACCTCCTTCAACTTCTCTTCTTTTTCCTTTTTCAACCTCTCTTTCTCCCTGGCCATCTCTTCTTCCATCTTCTTTAGTTTGGCCGCCTGTTCCTCTTTCAAGGCCTTCTTCTTGGCCTCCTTCTTCTCCTTCCTCTCCTGCAGGATGGCGGCCATCTTCTCCTCCTCATCCTTCGTGTATGGTTGGGTAGCGGTACCACCTCGAGTGGGCCCTACTCTACTCGCAAAGGTATGCCAAAATCCCAGAGGAAAGAGGAGACGCCAGAGGGTCCCCCAGAGGGAGAACCCAACCAGCAACCCATACATCGGGTAGTCGTCCATCGTGGTGTTGGTGCACGACAAGGGTCCCACTCCTCAACACGTAGCCCTACCCGGACACACTAACCTACTGACCGACTTCCTAAGGACCACAGGATAAGACCCTGTCAACTATGGTCACTACTAACCCAAGACTACTCTAAGGCTGTCACTACAGAACCAAGAGCTGATCAGGAGGCATTTAAGGAGATCCCCCAAACTCCGCAAGAATTCTTTAACGTCGCAGACAGGACGACGCGATCAGCTTGGTTCCTCTGGCGATTTCAGCCCACAACTCAGCCCGTCCAGCCTCCTGTGCCACACCGAGCAGCCCGCCRGTCAGTAYCGGTCCTTGGAGGGGTTCGTATCCCTCGGGACAGTCGAGTCGTCAGACACGGATCATCAGCCTTCTGGGTCCSGTAKGGGAGTGRCTCAACCAGGCCTCAACACTTAAAGACGGCSTTCATTTCAGCCTACAGCTCGGAKTTCAGACCCTCCACACTGAACTCAGTAGACCTGCYGGACAGTACCGGTCATTGGGCTAGAYRAGTTGTTTAACGAGCGCKCRCCGCTCATGCCCAGGTCTCCAAGTGCCAGAGTAGAGCTTTGGTCCTACTAAGCCCGTGTAGGTTTGGCAGCAAGGCCCTATCCTTCATCCACAGATTCCTA